TCTTCCATCATGATTCAGCGTGCATCAGTAAAAATTCGATTAAACGTTTAATTTTACGAAACGGTCGACGATGTTATCTGTTTTTTTTTTTTTTTTTTTTTTTTAAATCAATTGATGACTTTCCGATCTTTGTCGAATTCGGAAAAACGTTTCGATCATAACGGACCCCTCCCAGATCGCAATGTAGTACCGCATCGACGCCTCCTGCATCTGTACAGGTGAGAACGCGTCGGTGTGCGCGCGTCGGTGGGCGAGCACACACCAGTGCCGAAGGAGATGAGATACATCACGGGACGGGAGACGTATTATTAATGGTGACAGTGGGCGACCCAGGTTGGGCGGGGTACCCGCGCGATGCGCGGTCCCACCGAGATGTGGGCCTCGCTCCGGCCCCTCTTCCTCTCCTTGCTTCGACTCTTCTCGTCTTTTCTGCGTCGCATCGTTGCACACGCATCATTTGTACGATGCATTGCGATTTTCTACATATTTTATATCGCATTTCGTGAATTTTCAATTTGAACAGTCAGTCGCGCCTTTTCTGGAGCCGAGGGAAGATGTTGGTCGTCATTCAAATACGAACTTGATGCTGTACAAGAAATCCCCTCCTCCCCTCCCTCTCCCTGCTATAAGAAATATTATAAATTAATACAATGTCATGGCTTATTTCGAACTATAATTAAATTAACTTTAATATAATTAATATAATTAACAAATTAATAAACGTTAATTAACAAACGTTAATTATATTAATTTAAAGTTAATTTAATTATAGTTCGAATGCTAATAGAATAAAAGTTAGTCATGTTTCTATGTACATTAATTGTTCCAAAGACTCTACGCTTAAATTTAGCCTACGTAATTTAAAATGGAGTAAAAAAATGCTCGAATATTTTCTTGAAAATTAACACAATGTCGTGGCTTATTTCGAGCTATAATTAAATTAACTTTAAATTAACTTTAAATTAATATAATTAACAAACGTTAATTTAATAAAATAAAAGTTAGTCATGTTTCTATAATCTACGTACATTGTTCCAAAGATTCTATGCTTAAATTTAGCTTACGTAATTTAAAGAATATTAAGAAATATTATAACCTGTTTTTTTTAGCTGAATTTCTTATGTGTGAAGCACATGGTTCATCTTTTCTTTTTTCCTGTAACGTGAAGAGAAAGACAAGAAGGAAAAGGGGTGTATGGTAAAAGGACAGATGTAACATTGTGCATAATGAGAGTTGAATATAATTTGAGGCAAATTTCTAACTAGTAGTAAATTTCTAATAATGGCTTTATGAAATTTCTAACTAATTTCTTATTGGTCACGAATATCGTCGTTGAATTAGAATCCTAGATATAACAGAGAAACGCAATCGAGCATATTTAAAGGTTATAATTAATTGTCTAAAGAAAAAATGGCGATCTGCATCAGATGACAGATTTACATCTGTCATTCTGCAAACGGAATGCGATTCCTATAACAATAGTTTTTCTATTGACTACAAAGAAATATTGATTCTCTTTGGAAACTACAGTATACATATCAAGATTTAAAAATCATGATACTTTCTGAAATTAGAATCCTAGAAGAAAAAATGGCGAAACCAATTAGAAATCGGGATAGCGCTTCTCTGTTATAGCTAGGACTCTACTTTGAATTATTGCGCATCGCTGAAATTGGTTCACTTGGTCTTCTTATATCGTGGAACACTGTACAAGAAAATCAACTCAAAGAACAGACCCCATGTTGATCCAATATTGAAGATTTATTGGTAATTTGTACGTGATTAAAGTCGGCAAACAGGTTGAAGCATTAAGCGGGCGCTAACTAACTTCGCGGCGAAGATCAATCGGTCGGTCGGTTATATTCTAAATGTCGCGTGCGAGAAGTTTCTCGCTCGATTCTGAAAATGTCACGTGCCAATCCGCGCGCGAGTGTACCGTCCGCGATCATAACGAAATTCCTAAAGTGCTTGCTGGGCAGCACTCGGGAATGAGAGAGAAAGAGACGAATGGCAAAGTTAATCGCCGATCGCTGGCCGGGTGAATTACCGACGGGCGCGTACGTAAATCACCGCGGAATTGTTAATTAGGCGGTATAACGAATGAGCTTTCTGGAAAATGTCAACGCGCGGCTAAGACATCACGGCGAAACGGGACGCGCGATTCTTCTTCTCAATTTCTCAACGACTCGGAGACTCTCGATTGGGACCTTTCGACACGCGCGATTTCGCTCGCTGGCAGTCTCGCAATTTGTCGCGATGCCCGACTAGCTAATTTATAATCTCTTCGCTAAGATGGAACTGCGCGAGTCGATAGAAATCGCGAAATGGAAAGCCTATTAGCATCGAACATTCTTACAAAATATCCATGTTCGCTATGTATATGCGACGAAGCATAGAGTTTAGTGTGGAGATTAAATACCGAGATGATTTCGTCAGCAATACCAGTTATCATGTACGCCTTTATTTTTATAAACTCGCGACGCTAAAAATTGTTAACAATGCCGACATGTATCAGAAAGAAAGCGGCCGATTTTTGCTCAAAGGTGTAAGTAAAGGGAATAGTGTTTTCTGTAGATTTTGATCTGCTGGATACAATAAAATTAAAAAGTTTGTAACCTTTTTTTACCTTGAAAATTATGCAGAATATTGAAATTTCGATACGCCACATTCGTGTTCAATTTTCGAAGTATTTTCCAACGCTACGAACTTTTTAATAATTTTATCGTATCCGGGAAGTCAAAATTTACAAAAAACACTATTCCTTTTACTTATGTTTACACTTTTTTTAAAACAGAAATTAGTCCTTTTTTAACATTCTCTCTTCGTAGAAGAATAACATAACAATATAATTTTTCGGCGACACCAGTCTTGCCTATTTAAGAGAGAGACGCGCGCTCCATTCTCCATTGCTCGATTCAACACACGAGGATCATGATGAGTAAACTGACTCGACAATTCGACCCAGACGCACCTAATTCGACGGCGCGTAGCCCGCTTTTGCTCGAAATTAATGAAGTCGTCCGACCGGACCGCGGCCTAAGCGCAGTAAATTAGAGGAACACGCCAACCATTAGAATACTTAACGAGGACATCACGGTGGGACGCAGCATGCGCGGGTGTGATGATGAATCACCGCCAGGGATAACTCGCCGCTCGCGCGCGCCCAAGAATATTAAATTAAGTGTACTTATTGTTAGCCGAAAACCTCATTCGTGTCCCCTTTGCCGGATAGTTCTTCTCCAGGTTCCTCTTTTTTTCTTTTTTTTTTTTTCATGCGAGAAGCTTGAAGAGTCGACTAGCCGGAACCCGAGAGAAACGAGAAGTCGCTAGACGGGAGAACTTTGTCGAGCGACAAAAGCGTTCTCCTCTTTTTCGCGAGAGTTCTTTCTTTTCTCTTCCTTTTTGTCTCTCTTCGCTTTCCTTCATCGCAAAAGTGTTCTCGAGAAAACTGAAAGCACCGTCGCGACTGTTTATTATCAGTGAATAGGGCGGAAAGATTCGGCACGACAAAGTGCGATTTCGACAACGATCGATTTGCACTCTTTTTTTTTTCTCTCTTTTTCTCTGCCCCTCCTTCTTGTGCGGAGTTCCCTGGGTTAACGTTTCTCTCTTTCTCTGTCTTTCTTGCGGAGAGTTGAAATATACAAAATGAAATATGAAATAATGGTTCGTGCCTTGTGGCTGGTTGAAGGCATGGGCGCACCCATATCTACGCCCCCATGCACCTATGTATCTTTACAAGATTGTACGCATAACTATATGTATATATGTGTGTGTGCGTGTGTGTGTGTGTGTGTGTGTGTGTGTGTACATATTTATATTATACATTTATATATATTTATATATATTTATACAATAAAAAACATACTAAATTTTAATAAGTCATTTGTTTGAATAGTATCAAATAAATATTTACTAAATGTAATGATATATTTATTTGATACAAAACCATCAATTTAATTTAATAATAATTTTTTATTTAAAAAATCTTTACTTATTGTAAGTAAATATTTAGCACTATCTATTCTGATAAATATTTATTAAAATTTAGTAATATTTTTTCTTATATTTATACATTTCTTTATATACACTTTTATATGTTTATCTATGAAATGTGGTGCTATGGCTCTTCACGTGTCACTCTCTAAAATTTTTAGAATAAATATCATTCTGAAGAGTGAAATTTCACTCTTAAAGATTGAAAATTGAGCCATTCTTTTTCAATTGTCTCTTTAGAATGAGATTCCACTCCAAAGAATTTAGAGAATACGTACACATGCGTGCACACGCCGATATCCGCGATATCTACCTCGCGCTTTTTCTTTTTTATTGCGAACATCTTATGTTCGTATTAACCCTTATACCTCGCTTAATGATATTCCGGCCTACCATGTTGGCATATTGAACGCAACTAAGGCAGATTCCAGGCTTGGTCGTCGGACCCGCCGCCGTCGCCGCCGCCGTCGACCAAGCCCACCTGTAAATACGTATATCCGTACGTATATATACTCCGTGTATATGCGACGGGAGGAGAGATCATTTCTATGCTCGTTTTGCACTACGTATATTGGGGTTATGGAGAAGAGAAAGATCTCTCTCTCTCTCTCTCTCTCTCTCTCTCTCTCTCTCTCGCGAGTCGAATTAAGCGCGTCGTTAGCCAAAGGAATCGACCGATGATTTTATCAAGATTCGGGATATCGAGATGTATACATTGTGGCCTCGCCCCATTATTGTCGAAGAGTGCAATTTATCGAGAATATTTATACACACATGCGAGATTTCGCATGTATAATTGTTATATTAAAACGCATGCAGTGATGATGACTACATACGATCTAAAAGGTCGTCCAATGAATTCTTTTAAAGAACGAATAATGAAACTTTATGTTTCTATTTGTTTTTCGAGTATATTTCAATCCATCAAAGATTCCGGTTGAAATGTTTTTTCTGACTGAACAATTTTTTTAAATATTTAATGCGACACATTACTATCTGCTTTAATTATATTGAAAGATTTGTAAGTAGCATTTAGAAATATTACAAGCTTTACATTTTCAATTAAAAGGATAATTTTACAATCATCTTTTAATTAAGTTATTTATCATTTATTTCTATTTAACGTTAACATATTTGCAAGTTTTAGCATTGTCAATTTGTAAAAATATCAAAATATACTCTGTTCAACGAGAGAATGACCTCGATTTGCGCATAGCAGGCAATGTAACACTATACAACGCTATGAAGATCTACATAAAACGGGCGAGTTTTCGTCCGATCCGAAGTCATTCTCTTGAACAGAGCATAGGTATCTCTTAAAAGTTTTTTATGTAAAAATATTGCTATCTAAGATTAGCAACATATATCCACATGATACATAGATATATTCGGCAATTTATTACATTACATTATTTGTATTTTGACTGTTTATGCGGCACAGGGAGTATCGGAACACTGGTAAGGATAATTCTGTACATACTATGTGTCGCTTAGGTCCGATTGCACCAACGTTACTTCGATTTTAAGCAAGGTTTAAAACTCTTTCTGTCTCTGTCTCTTTTTGGCTTTAAAACGAGACAGATAGAGTTTTAAATCTCGCTTAAAATTAAAGTGACATTGGTACAGCTGGGCTTTAATCACTTTACATACAGTTTCTCTCTCTTTCTCTCTGTCTTTTACTTGACGAGACTTTGTTCGGATTTCTCACAGGAAAGAAATGGCGAGGACTGACACCGCAAGACAGGAGGCCTTACGTCGAGGAGGCTGAGAGGCTCCGAGTCATACACATGCAAGAACATCCGAATTACAAATACAGACCGCGACGTAGGAAGCACGCAAAACGGACACCCGGTGCACCGTCCTCACCTCCCTCGGCGACCAACACCGCGGGCAACAGGTCCAATCCTGCCGGCTCGGCGATTCATCATTCCATGTAAGTCGATACTCTGACCTGTACTTTCTGCTAATGAAGGTACGTGCGAGCTAACCGCTGCGGTTAATTGAGAGATTCCGGCGAGATTTAAACGATGAAGCGCCGACGACGGCATTATAATTTCGACGATTAACAATGTTCGAGACTTAACAATGACTTAGACGTGTTGAGTATTTGTTCCCTTAATAGGGAATGTAAATGTATCACATACTTGTGTACAATTATAAAGCGACAATGCATTTATGTATCGTGATCGAAATACATTTTAAGGTCCAAGATGGATAGTTACCAGGGCATGTCTCAAATCCCATGGGGTGGCCATTCCCCGATCTCATCCCTGTATCATCAACAGCAACAGCAGGGTATTCAGGAGTACAAATCGGAAAATAATTCGCTCTACGGCAGTCCTTATACGCCCATCATCCACACTCCGGACATATCTCCGGTGGCCAGTCCCGAGCCCGATGGTAATTTTTTTATATAAAAAATCGACCAGATACCAGATAATTGAATAAATTTCTTTAAAATCTTTGTTTTACGTAAAAGCTAAAATATGTTTTTCTTTTTTTTTAATTAATAGTACAATCAATTAAATGACTTTTTGTGACTAAATAAACTAAATTAAAAAGGGAATAATATAAAAAACAATACGATGCGATTAAAATAATTATGAAATAATGATACGTGTAAGTACAAAATGATTGAGTACAAAATGATAATTTAATCTACCAGGTGATGGTGGTCATCTGTCGTCCGCTCAAAATCCAGATCCAGAACGAGATCTGATGGAAGGTACTTCAAAGCAACATGGAGACATGTCCGATCAGACGAAACGATATACCTTTATGAGTAGTGACAATCAACTGCACGCGGGTCACGCTAGTAACACTAGCATATCATCGTGTCAAAATTCTGGCAGTTATACGGATACCTTAACATACAAAAAATCCGTACGTATTCCGCACTTTTAAGATTTCTATATTATATATATTACGATTATAATCTTCTACAAATTACATTGAACTACGAATAAAAATTTATATTTAATTATTTGATCTATACTTCAATTATTTAATTCAAATTAAATTTCTTTTTACATTCTTAATCAATTTAAACCTCGTTTGTAATCTCTTTAAGTCATGCTAAATTAATCCGTGTCAGATCAGATCGAACGACACAAGCAATTATATTTTTCATCAGGTGGGCTATTTGAATTTTGAGAGACAGTCAACGAGTATAGCCGCAGTGGGCATAGCGAACGGTATGATGGTATCGTGCAATAAGCTCCGCTCCGGTTTCGATAACGTCGGCTCCGTCACGGGCACGTTTTATCCACCAGTCGCCTCGCCGCACGATCAATCGCTGCAGCATTACAGCGGCACGCAGACATCTAAGAGCACAACGAACTATTCGATGCAACCTACCGTCGAGAGTAATTACAATCCGGTCCAATGCGCCAACAGTCGACAGCAGCCCATAGGAATCCGTGGAGCCGCTGAAAGTTGTCCCGGTAATATTTCCGTTCTCACTTACGCATATTAACCCTCAACTACATGAATGGATCATTGAAATCCGGGTGAAAGTTTTAGTCTGCCACTATTTTTGTACGGTTAATATTGCAAAGTTGAAGCGAGGAAATAAAAAAACTTGGAACCTTTCTCTGTCGACCGCCGTGATGTAATTGTTTCGTCGTTTGACTAATTATGATGCAATAAAAGTTTGGTTTGGATCCGTCAAATGTTATTAGTGCTGTATTTAAGTGTATTTAAGTGTATATATTGTCTTCTTATAATTAAAACATATTATATATATTATTGTCAAGAAAAGCATTTTTGCAAGAGAGATGACTCGCGAGAGCGGTAACTCTATTTTCTCAGAATTATAAAATTGAATAATGTCGAAATCATTATACATATATTTAATATAAAATATTTTCATTACATATTTTTTTAAAGAAGAAAATATACTCGACATGCCTCCGATATCATTTTTCTGATGTATATTCTAATAACAATCCTTTCAATCGTGCAAATAATTTTTGGAATGAATCAATATAATGTATTTTCTTTTTCACGTTCACGTTTTCGTCTTTTCAAAACACTACTTATTTTTATTTGTATCACAAAAATTTTTTTTTAATAATTGATTATTGCATTTTTTTCATAAATTGTTTTTTAATATTTTTTGACATAATTTTTTTAATCATTATCAAAATCTTTTTATGTTTTAATATCTTGATTCTATACATTTTCACATTTTATTAAAAAAAAATATTTTCTATTGAGATTTGTGATAATTACGGAGTCAATAAAAAACACCGTAGATAACTTAGACCCAGACATGTAAATTAAGATTCTAAAATGAGACATGTAGTTGAGGATTAATAAATTCAAAGGCTCGTAAATTTTGACTAAGAATAAAAGGCTCTTAGCGTATAACATAATCACGCGCGTGCGCGCAATATATTATCCTTTATAAAAAAGAGCAACAATTGCTATAAATAACAGAAATAATTTGGAATTAATTGCTTTTATATTTTTTAAAGAAAATCATTTTCTCGAGAAATGAAAAAATAAAGAAATACTAGGAAATATTTCCGAATGTCTATTCATAGCAAATATCAAAGAAATTACAGTAGAGTTCTCAATAATGATGCAATTTTATTAATCAAGTTCTTGTTCGTGCTCTTAATTTTTTATAGGTACAGTAACGCACCGATACCAAATGCATCATCAGGAGTATCAAACGGATGCGTCCTCCGGCCAGCAGCAACAGCACGCGATTCTTGGTAGTCATATCGATCCTGGTATGAGTGCCGAGGATGATCAGCAACAGACGCTCCAGCTGGAAAAATATTTCAAGTATTCTCATCCGACAAGCGTAGCACATTCGAGCCTATCCTCGCAGAATATGTTAGACAGTAATCATAATTACGCCAGCGATCTGCGTTACTACGGGGCACCTCCACAGTCTCAATTGGACATATCGAATTCTCAGTGCATCATCGACGATCAGCAGGGAAATAAGGATGCTCGTTGTTCTAATGTCGCGATCGGTCACACTATGGAACAGTATCATCCAGGACTGGAGGTATCCAAGTATACAGATCATTCAGTGACGCAACAGCATCAGCAATCACAACCACAGCAGCAGCAGCAGCAGCAGCAGAGCATGGAACACGTACCCAAGGCTGACGACGATTTCAGTGTTATACTTGCAGACGTGCGCAAGACTTGCTACAGTAGCTAGTGTTTCTCCTTTTAGTGCATAAAACGATCCACAAGTTTCGGGTTAGATTGATGTGCGAATTTCAGGGACTCATTTTTCGCTCACAATCAAGGAGAACAAGACACTTTACACATTTTACGTGATTAGTGCTACCCGAAATATATCAAAAGATTTTATCTCGTGATAAAAGATACATTCTTTTCATTAATTTTGGAAACAATATTTTAGCTCAGAATTTTCACGCGAGCAAAAGATATTGTTTGCAATATTTCATTTAATTTTCAACACGGAAAATATTTATAGTTGCAGTTTTCTTTTGTAACTCCGTCTAAGAGTATCCTCTGTGTATAAACATGATCTCTTATGGATTTCAGTACAATTGAAATTGCATTCATGCGAGTCAGTGGCGTATAATTGTCGCCTGTCAACAAATTGCAATAAGTGAAATTGCGATAAAAATATGATACGAATATAATAATACGATATAAACAATGATAAATTACCTGATATGATCAAGAATGTCATCATTTTGTTACAATGAGTATCGTTTTATTGAAATTTTTTACAAGATATTAAATTTCTTCAAGATCTCTCCGATATCTTATCTACAATCTTATACTATGAACACTTTAGGAACCTCAGAAACATAATGAGATAGGCGGCTAATGGTGTACGACTAGTGTAGCATTAAAATTGCAGAGAGAATTGTATACTCACATAGATGTCACATTATTTTGTCACATTAGTTTCATTATCAAAGATAACAGTAGCAGAGATATAATAGCGATAGCGGGAGATATTAAATTTTATATTGTTATATTAGAAAACTTTCACATGTCAGAAATATTTTGCATCAGTAAGTCTTCTCGTATTTATTCCGAGATAGCAGCATTCACTTTTGGTGCTACACCACTGTGAGCTTTATTGTCCAAAAGCTTATTTTTAATCGTTATAAACGATGATTTTATATAATGTATGTTTTTTGTTGTATATAAATTTTTCTTTTCTTGCTCATCAGGGTGACATTTTTAGCAATTTGTGCAAATTACACATCAAGTTTCGTAGAAATGCAAGTGGTGCAAAATATCTTCGATGTGTATAGAAATGTGTAAAGAATTTTGGGTAAAACTAAATTATTATCACATTATTATTTTGCTATTATTATATTACCTATATTAATTAACATTATTATTATTATTATTATTATTATTATTATTATTATTATTATTATTATTAATGTATCGTACTTAATAGAATCAATTATGAACAAACATTTACCTCCCCCCCCCCTCTATATCTTTTTCAAAGAATATTCTTCCACAAAAAAACAATACATTTTTGACGCGTTTTAAATTGTGCATATTGTTTATTTTGTCATGTATGTATCGTACACACCTATAATAGGTACACAATATATGTATGAGACACACGTACATATATATTATATTGTAAAATATATGTTGTCCATATATCTTCATTTAAAATAAATTTCTTATTGAGAAATTTGACAAAATTATATAACTTTTTTCGAAAAATGTTTATATCTCTCATGAAGTAATATATCGTAAATATATTAATCACGCATGATTAAAAACGATTGTTCAGGATTTTTTAATCGCTCGATATTATTAAAACACACATGTATGTATATTGATTCTTTTTATTAAATATATATAAAAAATATGTGTATAAGATATAACATTATGTGTAAAACTGAAATCATATTTAGTGTAGTGATATCCATAAACTTTACATCAAAGAGGGTTGATATAATGATTAAATATTGACAAATATTTCTCATTTTCTATTATATAATTATGACACTTCTTATGTTAGAAGGTTCTAATATAGCTATATATAGGGGATTTCACTCCTAACTACCTACTAATGGCAGATTCCTGAAATTATTTTGAGACTAAAATTCTAATACCAAAACGTCGAGACTATAATAATTTTTAAATTATAATCATTTAAATTAGCAAGTTATACCGTCTAAAATTTACGCGCTCAAGTATGGTACAGTACATGTTATTGTTACTAAAAATAAAAGCTAAACTGTTGCCTTTTATTAGTATCAATATAAATATTACATTGATGAAAATAAAATTACTGATATTTCTAATTTTTTATATTTATTATGTTAAAAAAAATATTTAGCCTGGACATTATATTATTAAATTTTCTCTTTTCTTATCTCAAAATGATTTCAGAAATCTGCCATTAGCAGGTAGTACGTTAAGTCTGAAACCTAATATAAAGTCTTTCACCAAATAAATAGATTTATGCATATATTAAATAACAAGCAAGTGAAAGAAACAATATTAAATAAATTATAAATATTTTATAATATCCTCTCTCTCTCTCTCTCTCTCTCTCTCTCTCTCTCTCTCTCTCTCTCTCATAATATAAATCCTTTCTCATTATCTAAAAATTGTTATTGCACATATCGCCCTTTCTAATATCCATTGTAACGCCACTATTGTACCTAAAATGTCAATATTAAAATCGATATATCAAAGTAAGACTTCAAAATTAATCTTCAAATCTCTCCACTGAATTTATATACATATATTTCTACATAAATAGTGCATTATTTACGAATTTATTCTGTCACATTTTATGTATTAATCCCCATTGATTTACACGTAAATATAATTGAGTGTGACATGTGTTTTTTATCGTAACAGCATGTGTATAAATAAAGCTAACGTCGCTTAATTTATCAATTCATAGCAGAATCAGAATTTTTACTGAGACAAAGAAGTAAAATTGATTCTTTTAACAATATATTCTTCTCTGTGAATTTGATTCTTTTCTTTGAAGTTACATTTAGAACTTAACTTCAAATAATAATCTAAAATCTTCTATTGTTTTGTGCATATTACGAAAAATCAGTAGTAAGTAGTTTTGGCATATTCATTTCTGATAATAAGGAAAAAGAGATGTTGATCTTGTCATAGAATTACATTTTGATACTTTTAAAGTCTAGAAATTTTAATTAATAGCACATTCAATGATAAAATAATTTCAGTCGCGCTAAATCCTGTCTCTGTTCGTAGTATATTGTGAATGCTTCAATTTATCACTATTTCTGCATTTGTAGCAATCAATTTCTAGAAAGATAATAGATGGCGAGGTCTATTTGGGGAATCGTGCTGAGTACAATTTTCCTCAGTACCATTATATTGCATTATACATTTCTATTTGCAGTATAATGATTGCTAATTAAGATGACATCAAATACTTGATATTTTTTTGTAAATGTTTCGTGAACGTTGGATTATAAGCGTAAGTACGTATATATATATATATATATATATTAAGAAA